TATGTCATGTGACAAGAATCAACCAATCAGCTTCATCCTTTCCCGTAACAAAATTGAAAGCTAAGCCAAGATGGAGAAACAGCTGAAAAAAATGGATAGCCATTTTTTAAAATAAATTTAGTAGCAGAGCTGCTGCAAGGGATTTTTAGTGCTGGAAATCCATTTATCCTTTGCTGAAACTTTTGCGTCTTCATGGAGAGCGCAGGTCATAGTTGCTTAGCACCGGCAGATGCCATGGGAGCGCAAGCTACAGAGTGCTTTGGAAAGAAGGAGAAAACGGCGTTTTCAGGCGCGACATGCAAATGTGGTTTTGTTTTGAAGGAGAAAAAAAAGCATATTGCTGGACTCGGTCGAGACCAACGAGAACATTTGGCGAGTCCAATGACCAAGTCCGAGACAAGTCCGAGTCAAACACCAACGAGTCCGAGACAAGTCCGAGAGCATAGAAAAATGTCTCGAGTCCGGACTCGAGTATTACAGCCAACCACAGTGGAACTGGAGGTTAATATTTTCAGTAGGAATATGAATATCAAGGCTAGGAATATAGCACATTAGTTGGAAGGACTACACTTTTCTTGTTTTTTTTGTAAACGACTTCAAAGCTCCAGTTCATTGTAACTTCATGGACAAGAGCAGCCTGTACTGTAATTAAAATACTACTACTTTTGTGTTCCAGAGAAGAAAGTAAGTCAGGTTTGAAACAACATGAGGGTGAACAGAAAAATGACAGAATTTGTTTTTGGGTGAACTATTCCTTTGACTGAATGGAGCAAATGCAATACGTTAAAATTATTGATAATCTAAACACCCATTTAAAAAGAGACTTAATTTTAAAGCCAGTTCTTTTCAGCTCTAGACCGTCTTCTTTAAAAATGAGATAGACTTGCAGTGAATGAGCTCCTCACACTCACTGGGTAAATCATGTATAGCCATCCCAACTTCAATATTTATGCCATCAGGTCTTGAGTGAAAAGGGCAAACACTGTATCATGTCAAAGACCAACATCCATTTTTCTCTCAGAGGAGGGATTGTGTGAAGGGAAAACGTGCGTGTTGTCAGGATTTAGGTCCAATTTACCTCAGCCTGCCAAACAAATCCCTACACATACAAATAGGAGTGTATGATAACCATCCTGACATTGGATTGAAAAACATGACAATTTGAAAACGCTTACCTTTCACTCTGCGGGAGACAGGGGGTGACCTAGATTGATGGAGTGTGGGAGTAGTTGGGAAAGGACAAAACAGCTTAAGTTAGACTAGGTTGGCATCAAGGTTTATTATCTTTTACAATGTACAATATACAAAAATATAGAGTACCAAAAATTCACAGTGTCTAAAAGGCAGTGATTACAGTCTACATCGCATATCAAACCACCAGGTCAGTTGCATAGAAGGGCACCAAGCCTTGCAGGGATGGAGCACCTCATTGCGTAATCCAGCTTTATGCGTGTTCAATAGCAGAGATACTACTTTCAAACCCGATTTACACAGAGCAGCCGCACTTGACCAACATATATTATCTGGGCAGGCACACGGGAGTGAATGTGGGGATTTAGTTTGACCTTTTAACTATGAGCTAAGAGTTTTGCTTATTCTTGATTGCTTTTCATGCGTACAGTGGAGTCCATATGCCTTTTGAAAGGCATTTAAAATCTGGGAGTTACTTCAGGTAAATCGGAAATAACATTTTCAGATTTTAAAAAAAGTATATAGAAAAAAAATTCAATTATAATTTTCACTCAAATTATGTTGATAATATAATTTTCAATTAAAAAAAAATTTTTTTCTGAATATTTTATATATATATATATATATATATATGCAATAAAAATGTAATTATTAAAATGCAAAATAGGAACATTTTCAGTAATGCTCTCAGATTTTTGGGCTCTGTAGATCTTTTTCAATGAAAAGGCTTGGTACGCGAGCATATCTTTAACGTAGCAATATACATATTAAAATCTGGGAGTAACTTCAGGTAAATTTGGAAAAACATTTTCACTTTGTACTCAAATTATGTTGATAATATAATTTGCTATTTAAAAAAATTATTGATAAACTTTTCTGGATTTTAGTTTTTTTTCAATGAAAAGGCTTGGTATGTGAGCATCTATTTAAGATATATATATATATATAGAGAGAGAGAGAGAGAGAAAATTGACAATAAAAATGTAATTAATAAAATGGAAAATAGGAACATTTCATTTTCAGTAATACTCTCAGATTTTTTTTGACTCTGTAGATTTTTTTTTCTTCAAAGAAAAGGGTTGGTATGCAAACATATCTTTAAGATAGCCCCCAAAAAAATCATGAACGCTATTAAATAATTTGAACAGGATCAAACAGCATCAAAACAATTTAAGACTGTATTTGAATATGATATTGAAGCAACTTAATTCATGTTAATTTTGTGAACCTTGTCATGTGAACGGCAAAAATCAATTCATATGAATTATGAACAGATGAATAAAAACAAATTCTCTGTAAATAGTTTTGTGGGGACTCTAATGAATAATCTTTGATGTTATCGATCAGGGTTGGTCCACGAGATGGTCTCTCTATTGCAGTCAAACTCTTGTCGCTGACAGGCTCCATCCCCACACAATCCCTACGGTTGGTATATTTACACAGCTGCTGCACATATTATTTTACAACTATAAGGCGTTTAAAAAACAGTGTTAGCTTTACAATATACATGTACATTATACTATTCTTTGCATGGCATTACTTTTTTTCGCTGTGGGACATCACTTATTTACAACCCATGTACTCGTGCTTAGCTGAAAGCATGGCTGGCTTAGCATTCATTAGACGAGCATGATAAAATATCTTAGTTTAGTTTTCAATGCCCTTTAGAAACCAAGCATACCATAAATACTAGATACCGGTGACAGTTGCCATTCCTGAATCGTTTTTATCGATAACTGGAGAGTTGCATCTGGAATGTGGGCGTGATGCCGCTGGGAAGCATGTCAACACACGGGCAAAATAACATCTGAGTTAGGCACATAGTGCTGCACAAAGATTCATTTTTTAGATATTGTTTGATGTGAAAAAGACAGTGATCCATTGATCATTTCTGCATGAGTTGACTCTCTGGGCAATTTTATGAATATATGATGCTCATATAAGAGTGTACGCCTTCGCTCATATCTCTGATGAATGTGATGATGGTTAGGAATATACCATCTGGAAACAATAAGAAAAAATATGTTCAGTATAGCTCCGTCAATGTTTGTACTCATATCTTAAATAAACTCTATCGTCCATCTATTTACTATAACAGCTGAATAATTCCCTCTTTAAAATAACCGTATAAAACAAGTGCCAAGCTATCAATATTTCCTACATTTTTTCATAATAAAATATAGTCCGTCTCAGTTTGAACCCAGTCATATTTAATATGACCACCGGGACTTACAGTAACAGAGCAGAGCATGTTTGCTTCTGACCTAAGCATATTCCATGTTGGTGCAATATTCCTCGATTCCCATGCATTCGCAAGTAAAAAAGGCATTTCGACTTTTCAGGGAAATAATGACGCATTCTTCTGGCCTTTTAACGTGCTGAAAATCTGTTTCAGTTCTGATAAGAGTCCATTCTGAATAGCATCCTATTTTAAGCTGTTCTTTTTTCTGCAGCTTGGTTCCGAACGATTCACCCAGGAGATGCATTGATCTTGCAACCCATCCTCTTTTGACAGAGATTTGTCCCTCAAAGGTTGGAAGTCAGTGGGACATCCTTACATTTACATCCAAAGGTAACACAATTCCGCCGTTCTGACCAAACCTAATAATGTCACCATTGATTGCTCTCTTTTGTCTGGTGTCCGTCTATTCTTCTTCTGTAGTTTCAAAAAGAACTGCCACAGTGTGGCAGATTGCATTTCCTGTAATGGATATTGTTGGAGTGGTACGGGATGCCAGCACAATTTTGTCTTCCCACCTTGAGCTTCAGCAAAACCTCTTTCCAGTAACAGGAGTTCTGCAGCGATCAATCAAGACACCAGTTTATCAAAGTCAGTGTAGCTACACAATCTTTAAAAAGTGCTGTTTGAATCACTGGACTTTCCCCTCATTGGACACCGTAAGGCATGGACTTAGGTGACCCGGTCGTCAGGGAAGAGATCTTAGGGAAAAAATCAGCTGGAATGTTGGAACAAGCACCTCATCGGGTGCAGAGTGTGTGGGTGGGGAAAGTGGAGGGTTTTAGGAGATGTACGGAGCAGCCTTGTCACCATGGTGATAAAGCTACGGATGGGACACGTGCCTCAGCTGTGGTTATAGGTTCTGCAAGGAGACGGTGAGGAGTCTGCCCGGTAGTCATATTTGCCCAGCGCTGTGGGGTAGTATGTGGTGGTGTACACGTTCGTCTGCTGAAGCGGTGAAGGGAAGTAGTTGGTCCTCTCATCTGGCAGCAAATTGTTCTTATTCAGAGTCTGTGGACAAAAACAAATAAAGGAGTGTTAGATGAGCTGAGAGGCAAACAACTATCCATCAATCGCTGAGATGAAACACCACTGATCTCACAGTCTGCAAACCTCTTGTGACCTTGAGAACTAAAAGAACAGAATATGAGAATGTTGAAAGCACACAGCAAGATTTCACACCTTCAGGAAACACTTCAGCTTAACACATGTAAACTCTTATCCAGCTAGTTCCTTAAAAGTACAGGGTGTAATATCTGCACCACTAGCATGTTTGAGCAGCTCAAATATTGTCTCAACCAATGGCAGGAGTTTGTAAATCCCAAAGTCTTACAATGAAGGAGAGACCCGAGCCACATCTAAGGACCAGTATATCAATGACCTTTGAACGGGATCTTTTGATTTGAACAACATAGCAACTGCATGGCAACATGCTAAAAAAACACTCAGGATTCTCTAGAAACATGCTAAAAACCATGGAAGAACAACATAATGTGCTAAAAATCACTCAGAATACTGTAGAAACCACACAGCAACATGTTAAAACCACTTAAAACTCACCAGCAAATGCACAACAACAACAACACTCAAGCAAGATGTCAAAAATCACCGAAGAACACACTAACAACATGCTGTAACTCTAAAAACCACAAAACAACATGTTAAAACCACTTAGAACATTCCAGCAACTGCAACGTGTTAAAATCCATACAAAGCACCCAAGCATAGTAACACGCTAAAGAACACCAAAGACAGCAACCACACAGCAACATTTTAAAAACCACTCAGAGCACCCAAGCAAACAAATAGCAGCATGTAAAAACCACTCAGAACACCAATTTGCATAGAAATACGTTAAAAATCTCAAAGAACCCCCTAGCAACCACACAACAACATGCTAAAATCACTTTAGAAGATCCTAACAACATGCAAAAAATCACTCCGAACACACCAGAAACCGAATGGCAACATATTAAAACAACATAGAACACACACGAAAAAATAAAACTGGTTCTTGTAGTTAAACCATGGTAACCACAAATTAACTATGGTTTAGCTACCCTAACCATAGTTTAATTGTGGTATTAAAATTTTAGTAAAACTGTGGCAATTCAAATAGTAATCAATCAGCCAAAAAACTATGGTTACTACATTTTTACTATAATAAAACCATCGTCAATTTTAATAAGGGTCAGACCGCCACAACAACCACACAGCAAAACAAAAAACAAAAAAAGCCTTCAAACCACCCTAGCAACCCTTATAGCAACACACACACACACACAAACCCCCCCGCAGAACAAGTCAAGTCACCTTTGTTTGTATAGCACTTTATACAATACTGATTGTGTCAAAGCATTAAAGAACCCTAGAAAAATGCTAAAATTGACTCAGAACACTCTAAAAACCGCATATCTACTACTTAAGATAAAACCACTTAGTACTCCACAGCAACCACACAGCAACATTTTGAATACATGTAACTTTCAGAGCACACTAGCAACTGTATAGCAACCCTATCGCCACAATAGATCGAAATCGAGAAATCGCGAATCTGTTTGGTGGTACTAGTGGAGCAGATATGACATACTGCACCTTTAAATATGTAAGGCACTACTGAATGGAGACCACAGTTGATAAACGTTTTAATTTAAAAGTGGTGAACTCAGGGTCATGGATGAAAGTAGCGTGTATGTGTATGAAATGTAGAGCTCTCGAGAAATCATTTGTCTAGCTCTAAAAAAGCTGTAGCTCAGTTACTGGGGGAGTGAAGCTATGAAATATACAAGATTGATTTGAGTGACTCACCGTAGCTGAGAACTGCTGTGCAACAATTATAGTTTTCAATACCTGGCAAACAATAGCTTTACAAAGAGGCTGAGATCTCCATTTTCAGGCTGAACGAGACCGATGAAATTGCTTTTTTATCCAAGAGTCAATGAGTGACAAGTGAAGGGAATGTTTGTCTGCTATTACGATACCAAATTACATCTTCCTAACTGTGGTATTTTTAGCAGGCTTTCGACAAACCGTTCCCTGTGCGCAATCGGAATATTCATCCTGATTTACGATGTGGCTCTCAACGGATGCTTATTCAAAGAGCCATCAATCAGAGAGCCTCCGTGTCACACGGTTAATATCACACAGCCATCTGCGCACCGACATGCCCTGGGAATACATGGACAGAGAGAGACTAGAGCGGCTGCCTTTTGCAGTGGCCACTTCTTTCTCGATCCACTTGTATTGCACAAGTCTCATAATGAGTTTCGAGTGAGTAGTGGTCATGCAGAAGATCGATGGAAAAAGTGGCAAAAGGCTCGCGCAGGTGTCACAGCAAGGACACGAGGTGGAGGGAGAGCGAGCCGAGCCAAACTAATTGGATGAGCTTGACGATCAGTCACAACCAGCTGTGGGAGTCCACTGAGTGGCTGCTGCTTAAACAGCCTAATGGAGCCCATTAATAAAGACAGAGTGTGTGCCAGGAAGAGGCGGCTAAACAAGCGGCCGTGGGGAGAGTGAAACCAGCGGTAATCTCCAAACTATCAGTTATCTAGTGATGCTCATTTCAGACAAAACAAATGAGCATGTGGTTATTGGTTACTTGACTGCTCGCAACTTTTTCTGATAGCTCATCTGTGGGGAAATGTAAAAGAAAAATACTCACAGCTTAATATGCAGAGACTATATAAAAGGCATTTGTAGGCATATTCCCACAAAAAGTGTAAACACTGGTGCTATCGAGACATTAATCTGATTGAGCATCCTGACGAGCCTAACATCTGCGAAATAGATTTGAATATAGTAAAATGTGTAAAACAGAGATGTTAAACGCTGAAAGTTGCCAAAATAAATAAATACAATCAGGATGTGCAATCTGCCAAAATCCACTGAGCTTTGTGGAATTCCAAGGTCACAGATTCCAAGTCGGCATATATTAGAAACTCATCTTCATGCTCACACAGAATCTGGACAGATCTCTGCAGAATTACAATGACCGCTATTCCCCAAGTTCTAAAAATCCTTGCCTTTTGAGTGTTCATTAAGCATATATATATAATTTTTTATATTTTTTATTATGCATTCAGCTACAGTATCAAGGAGAGTGCAGTATTCTTGTAGCACATTTGACCTTTTTTCAGAATTCTTTGATGATAAAATAACCATTTTTGGTCAATTTAATGCATCCTTGCTAAATAAAACTTAATTTATGTTAACAACAACAACATACTAAACCCTTTTCACTGCATAAAACAGTATTATGAGATTTTTATTAAATTTTTTTGCGAATATGGTGTCAACACTGACCTTGAACTCCATGGGTGTGTATTTCTCATTCTTTGGTGTGGTGTTGCCCTTGTAGTTGAGGTGGTTGGGAGTGGTGGGGTGGATGACTGCAGACTCCTGCGAGGGCTTGTGGAACCGCTGACAGTACACATACACCAGGAAGGACAGCAGACCGGCACCCAGGAAGCACGACACGCCTGTAGCTATCAGGTGAAGCAGAGTGAACCCTGGGAAAACAAGAGAAAACAACATTACGGTAACCATTTGTCTGCAAATAACTGTAATATGTTGTCATTTTCATCCAGACATTTGACTGAAAATGCTTTTTCATATAATGAGACAATATAGTCATTCTTGTCAGTAGAATCGGAGCGATACAGCACCATTGCATCCCTCTCCATTAACGCTACATGTTCGTAGCCATCAACCAGCGGTAGGCAGGTGTTTCAAAGTGTCTGGCTGAATGATGCAGTACCGAGGGACAGTGCTGTGATTAGCTGGTCGATGTGACGGACCGGGCGTCCTGCCGGTCTGACCCATAATGAGTGCGAAATGTGATTGAGGAGAATGAACACCATACCCCACCATGAACTGCTCTAATTGGACAACGATCACTCAGGAGAGCACCACTGCTGGAGCACGATGGGTAATATGTGCTGCCACCTGGAGAAACACCAAATTGGCTCTGCGGTGCCACCTCTGAGAGCAGTCATCGCCTGATGTGGCTTGGATCCGCAACCTAAAAAGCACCGCTGTGCTCCCTCATGTATTTTTCATCTGGTGCATGCACTGGAAAGGCAGCACCTCTGCATGGGAGAGCCACAAGCGCCATGGAGCACGACACATGGAAAACTGAAGATCAGCAGTGTGAATTATGAAGTTCACTTACTTAAACCTGCTTAGCGATTCCATTTCTGCCTGAGTTCGGAATGAAAAGGAGCTGACATGAAACATGACACACAAGCAGCACATTGCTACATGTTTTTGAGCATTCACGAGAGTGTGCGTGCATAAGTACATGCTAACATGCGGTGAACAGCATACAAACATATCGGTCAAAGCACTTACCCCCACACTGCTGGTCCTTCTCATAGCTAGATGCCGGTAGAATGGCTGTGAAGAGAAAGAAATGTATAGTTAGTGGCTGTTCACACAGGATGAGCTCTTGCAAGGGTCTTTCTGAACGTCTTGTACTGATGCCAAACATCTTTCAAATTGACACAGCATCTTAAAAACACAACAATCATGGTTTGAGATGAGATCAGAACAGTCACCGACATTCATCTAGAGCAGTGGCTGTCAAGAAGTTTTGCTTCAAAATCTAAATTCCTGTAGCTCAAGCAGTAGAGCATGGCAGCAGTAACGCCAGTGTCATGGGGTTGCTTTCCAGGGAACGCATGAACATATTCCCTGAATGCAATGCAAGTCTCTTTGGATAAAATTGTCAAACTGTCAAATGCATAAATGTAAATATACATTTTACTTTAGACATGAAGTGTTGACTAAAAATAATAGCAGATTTTTTTTATATAATATAAAAGTATAGAAAAATTGTATCAATATCACATGAACTGCATAGGCCCAACAATTTGCAAAATTATTCATATCTTTATCAAATAGATGTGCAGCCTTGATGTCAACATCAAAAGACATGAAACATCCTTTTAAAAGCTAATAGGCTTACTTATTTTATATTATGCAGAATTACATGCTTTTTTTGTCTTTTCTGTTGCTCAATTTTGGGAGGTGACCAACAATATAACCATAAACCAACAATTTAAAAATGAAGCAGGCTGATGCTAGAAAAAGTCCTGTGAACAGGTCATTACATGCTCCCTTGTTTTGCCTCCCTTTGCTGAATTACAGCCAAAACATCAATCACTCCCCATCTTATCCCACTCTACTCTCTCCTTTCAAAGGCAAACTTCCTGGAAGTGGGGCGATGGTGGTGGTGGTGAGGAAGTCTCCTGTTTTATACCTGAGGGATGAGCAGGGACGCAGTGATAAAGTACAGAAAATCACATCAAAGCCTGTCAGCCGGGTCCCATGAAAGTGATGAAATTATTACTTCCATTACATATTCAAATATTGCATGTATTTGAGAATGAACGGTTAATGTCAGTAAAAATAGTTGCAAGCTATTTTGCAAAATTAAATTTTAAACACTTATTCAGAGTAAATATTCCATTGTGGTTGAAGTAATGAGCTGCATTTCGATGGAATTTTTTAGTCTAAGATTCTCTATTACCACCCAGAGTCATGCTTTTCAAGCTCTATCTGAAATCTCCACAAAGAGCAGAGATGGGTAATATGGGGGGGGGGGTTTGATTGAGATGCACAATTCTCCTTGATCTCCTCACCATCTAAGACACCTCAGGATTTAGAACCCGTTTTCCAAAATTGGAGAGAAATTGGATGTGAGGCTGCCTTGTGGCATAACATTAATATTAATTAGAGTGCCTGATTCACTTGGTATTCTGCTCCGACAACTCGTGTTCTCGCAGGCTGGGTGCGTTCAGTTCTTCACTTTGAACACTACCACTCCACCAGCCAGAGTAATGAATAAGTGCATGTAAACCTATTACATCTAATCTATTAAAAACAACAGTGAGGTTGACAGGGTTTAAAAGTGTATGTTTATGTAATAAGAGTAACATTGCAATTGGGAAAAGCTTTGCTTCATAATGGAACAGTTGGATGCCGTGTGAATATATGCGTGTGTGTTTATATATAGCTCTCTCTCACCTGGGATCTCATTGCAGTCTCGTTGCTGAGAGCCGTTTCCCACACATGGTGTGGACTGAGCCCCGCACACTCGACTGCGCAGCTGCAGGCCCGAGTCATCGCACTCAGACCACAATGACCAGGCCATCCACCCACCTGCACAAAGACACAGGCATAAACACAGGATTTAAAGAAACAGTTCACCCCAAAATGAACATTCTGTCATCATTCCTAAACCTCTGTGACTTTCCTCTGTCAAGCACCAAAATTAGATATAATAAAACAGCATTTAAAAGTTTAATAATGCTTCAAATGACTTGCACTAAATTCTAAGTCAAGGTTTCCATAACAGTTTGTGAGTTGATGAAAAGCTAAAAAAATACAATTAAATGGAAAATTAAAATAGATAAATAGGGCTGCACAAATAATCGGAAATAAACAGCAATTGCGATATAGCTTTGAGCAATTATCAAATTAAAGTCTGCAATTTAAATAATCATCAAATATAATGTAACAATATAATTAGAAAATGTTGCTTCTCACAAACTCCATCTTTGCATGTGATGGGAGTTAAATGTGCATGTGAGAATGCAATGTGTCCTAGGTTCTCTTTATTTATATTTGCATAATTTCCAAAATGTTTGTGGACAGACGTTTACAGCATTTCAGCAGTATTCCATCAAATAAAAGCTCAAGGATTTTAAATTTTATAAGCTTGAGGGTTTGAATGTGTAGAAGTGAAGTACTTAAGACATTAACATAAGTAATGTAACTTAAAATAAATGTGTTATAATTACAATTATAATATAATAATTATGATTTATTTTGCAGTAATTGTAATTTACAATAGTAATATTTATAGAGTTAAAGCTAATATAATAAAACAAAAAAAATTGTTAAAACTAATATTAATAATTTAATTATCAGAGAACCATAAATATGCAACTGTATTGTTAAATTATTGAAATATTAACTTAAGTCCACATTTATAGTAATTGCATAAGAGAAATCAGTAGATTATTTAAAATTGCAGCTTTTGTTGGTGCAAAGAAGAATGAAAGGTTTGAAACAACAGTGAGTATATGATGAGAATTTTTTGGGGGTGAACTCTCCCTTTAAAGGGGACATCGGATGCCCATTTTCCAGAAGTTGACATGATTCTTTAGGGTCTTCATGAAATGTCTAACATACTTTGGTTAAAATTCCTCAATGGTCATGTAAAACAACACCCTTTTTACCTTGTCAAAACCAGCTCCGTTCACAGTGACACGTTTCAGTGCATGCCTCTTTAAAAGATAATGAGCTACTGCTAACGTCAGCCCTCGCTTCAATGGGGCGTGTCGACAAAAGACATGTGAATTGCTGCCTTGGACTCTGTATATGGCTCGGAGGTGGTCTTATTAACTATTGACGTAGAAACCGGCTGCAAATTGAAACAGCTTACTGGATGGCAGTTTCAGACTCAGACAGCACATAACAAACTGGTTGGGTGTTTACTTTTCAACTCTTCTGAGCTGGCAGACACGCCAGAAACCTAACTAAATGCAAAAAAGAAAAAAAAAAGTGAAAATTTGATCCGATGTCCCCTTTAAATGGAGCGCTCCAATTTTGGCCATCCTCACAGTTCAGATGTCAATCTAACCCGAGTGCTTCCGACTCAACGGCCCACCCACGCACATGAAACAAACACAGCAAGAGTCACACGAGGAGGCAAAAATATTCACAGTCTTAGCCCACAGTCTCAGAGCAAGTGTACCAAAAAGAAACTTTGATTTAGAATGTATTTGTTTGCTGGGAAAATCCAATCTGTAAACAGACACATTCCTTTCATGTTTCAGCTTTTCAGATGCTTGTCTAGACCATACGCAGTCTTATAACTCTCCCAGAACCTAACAAATTTGTCATTCATGAAGGGGGCCAACAGGGGCCAAATGTTTGAATCAAGGATCCAAAAGACTTTAATATCAGTAGCAACTAGTGCCAGAGAATATCGTAGCATTTCAGAAAATGCAGATCCACTGTTAATGATGAGAGGCAGCCTCTATAACTGCTACATCAATCTTCATTTATTTTTCTTAAGCAAACAATATGTCATGAAGAATATGTGACTCTGGACCACAAAACCAGTCACTGGAATTGAGATTTATACAAAGCTGAATAAATAAGCTTTCCATTGATGTATGGTTTGTTAGGATAGGACTATATTTGGCCGAGATACAACTATTTTAAAATCTGGAATCTGAGGGTGCAAAAAAATCCAAATATTGAGAAAATCGCCTTTAAAGTTGTCCAAATGAAGTCTTAGCAATGCATATTACTAATCAAAAATTAAGTTTTTATATTTACAGTAGGAAATTTACAACATATCTTTATGTAACATGATCTTTACTTAATGTCCTAATGATTTTTGGCATAAAAGAAAAATCAATAATTTTGTCCCATATTTTTGGGTATTGCTACAAATATAACCCAGCGACTTAAGACTGGTTTTGTGGTCCAGGGTCACACATTTAAGGCAGAATCCAAACTGTAATGGAACCTTGTAAATGACAGATATGGGATGTTTTACATTTTGAATTTGCTCTTAATATTTTTAAAGGAATTTAATTTTATTTGATCGATAATTAAACACAGGACCATCAACATCATGGATTTGAGGTGTTAATCAGAGAGCCAAAAGGCAGTATTAGTATAAGCTACAGGGCTTTACATGATCCATTCTTCATAAATATTTTCGTTTTGTCTTAAAGGGACAGCTGATTTTTAAAGTGATGGCAGCAGAATGTGACAAGAAAGCTTTGCACTGCCACAGTCTGCTTGCACACAGCACACTTCTATAAGCATGCAGCTCACATATGGTACCATCTGTAGCCTGGAGGACCCCAGAAGCCACTCTCAGAATCTGAAGAATGTGCTTCTGGTGATTGAAAGGTCTGAAATCATTCCTTCAATGCAATGATAATCAGTCAGTCATAAACTATCCTGTTAAAAGACCAGCATATGTTGTGTTGTGGATGATGGTGTGCTCACAAGGCTTCTAAAAGGCATAGTTCACCTGAAAAATTTTAATTCGGTAATCATTTATGAACTCACTATCACTGACTTTCTCCTGCTGAACACAAAAGAAAATGTTTCACTTATGGCGACAAATGCTGAGAGTTTTAAAAATATCTGTTCCATACAGTCATGCAGTTTTAGCGTGGCACAAGGGAGTAATTTATGATAGAATTGTCATTGAGTGAACTATCCATTTAACTAGCTTAACCAGCACAATTTCCTCAGTTGACCAGTTTCAATAAAAAAATGTAAGTTTCAATAAAAAGTCTCAATTGCATTTTATTAAAGGGTTAGTTCACCCAAAAATGAAAATTCTGTCATTAATTACTCACCCTCATGTTGTTCCAAACCCGTAAGACCTTCGTTCATCTTCGGAACACAATTTAAGATATTTTTGATGAAATCTGAGGGCTCTCTGACCCTCCCATAGACAGCAAGGTCATCACGCCAGATATGGGTCAGCGCCGGAGCCGCCACACACTCGCGTCATGGTACTGTCGTGAACGCGCATCCAAAGTGACGCAATAGAGACGATGTGGATGAATGTGGAATATAGTCGTTATTTTTGTTTTCTTTGCTTATTTTCGTAACTTTACAGTTGAACCACTGATGTCACATGGACTACTTTGTCGATCATCTTGGTACTTTTCTGGACCTTGAACATGGTAGTTTCCTTGCTGTCTATGGGAGGGTCAGAGAGCCCTCAGATTTCATAAAAAATATCCTAAAATGTGTTCCGAAGAACACGAGGGTGAGTAATTTTTGGGTGAACTAACCCTTTAAAATAAATATATAAATAAATAAATAAAGGTCATTGCAACTTTTTATCTCACAATTCTTTTCCTTGCAATTCTAAGTTTTTATCTTACAATTCAGACGTTTTGAGAAAATTCTGAGAAAATAATTGAGAGAATTGTGAGATATAAACTCGCAATTGCAAGAAAAAACTCATAAAAATTTATAACTGCCTTTTAATTAAACAAAAAATTTTACCGAAAAACGCTGTTAAACAATAACAACAACAAAACAGAATCGATGTAAACTCACAATTATGAGCTTATTGCAAGATATAAACTCAATTGTGAGAACAAGTCAGAATTGTAAGACACAGACTTGCAATTGTGAGAAAAAAAAGAATTGTAAGGGTAAAAAAATTTACCCTTTATTATTTTATATATAAATTTACCCTTTATATATTATTTTTATTCCATAGTGGAAACAAGCTTCTACAGAAACTGCATGTTTCTGAAAGGTGATAATAATGGGTGTTGATGAACAGATGACACATTGAAAACCAACTGTATCTTGTGCTTACAGACAGAGGTAGAGCTCAATTTGGAGAGCCTTGAGTTTTTTGTAGCACATTTCACTTAAAGCATAGTTTCACCCCATTCGTGGATCTGGATTGGAACTGATCTTACCATCACAGGTGTACGTGTTGCAAAGAGCCTCCTCTGTGTGCAAGCCGATGCAGATGTCCCCTCCATTGCCAGGGACGGGGTTGGTGCATGTGCGTGTTCGTTGGTAGTGCCCACCTCCACAGGGCACTGAGCACTGCGACCATGATGACCAGCAAGACCAGGCACCGTTAACTGCACAGACCAAACACGTACAAACAAATACGACATACAAAACAAACACAAAACAATCAGGCAAGGAGGGGGACACAATCATCCAAGCATCAGATAAGCAGACCCAAATGCAGCGCAAACAAAAAAGACAGAGCGGCGGATGCAAACACAATGTACCGAACACAAACATAAAACAGCATCAATCAAACAGGCAAACACAAAACAATCCAAAAAAACGGACATGATTGGAAATTCCCACAAGCCAGACAAGGCAAGCAGACATCTGTTATGAGATGTGATGGTGATCCAGACATTCGGAGTTCAGGGCAGAATGTCGCATTTGGAGTCTCAAACAGCTTTATTTGACCCACAAAGCTCCTGAACGAACACTCGAGACTGTTCACCTCCATTTCTTTGTTTATCCCGCTGGAAAATCCAGATTAAGCTGGTGACCGATATCTAGCTGTTCCAAGCTGGTCACCATGTTCCAAAAACCAGCTTGACTACCTAAAGCTGGTATAACCAACTTGTTTGTAGATGATCTACCATCTAGAAACCAGCTATCATGTTTCAAATCACAGCTACCACCTTAAACTGACCAGAATAGAATCATTGCTGTTGTGCAGTTTCCTCTCACTTTAACAGGCCCTGCCACCATCCTCTTGACGTCTCATCAGACCGATGGAGGAGAAGGTTAGGGGTGTCTACTTCTCTCTGCACTAGAAAGTACTGTTTAACTTCAGTGGATTAGCATGCGTGTACTGGGGCACGACTGAAGTGTGAAGGTAGACTGATCGCAATCACAGTCCAGCAACCTCGCACACCGAGGGAGTTGGGAGCTGGGCGTTGGATTGGAGTGCACATCTGAGGTCAAAACAATGATTAAAATGGTTGGCTGATGTCAGTAATGTGTTTGAATCCATGTGCCCTACCCCCTTCCGCTTTGTTATTTCAATCCTATTTTCCCTTTCTGCCTGATTGTAAAACAGCACAGCAAATATTGTGGCTGTTCATTTGTCACACTCAGAGAGTGTTTAGAGTAGACAATGCATTGGCAAGTGGCTGTCAATATGTCTAAAGAAAGACACAAAACCATCTGCTGGGAACTTCCAGGGTGATTGGTCAGATAATTTGCAGTGTGATCCTTTAAAGGTGAAGTATTAGCACTTTCAAAACAAGGCCCTGTTTGTTTGAGCCAAAGAGGACTGTTAAACCTGGAGAAAAAAAATATTTTAGCACCTTTAAACTGTCTATTAGCATCCTGAAACTCTGTTAACATCCCCAAACTGTCTGCTAGCATCCTTAAACTGTCAGTTAGCATCCCCAAACACCCTATCAATCAAATTCTATAGCAATGTGCTAAAAATTACTCTGAAAACATCTTAGCAACCAAATACCAACTCCCTGTTCACCTACAGAAAATAAGCAACTCAGTGGCAGGCGAATTAGTTGTTGTTGTATTTTTTTCCATTAAATATAAGAATTTTAGCAATTCGGTTTGATGCAATTTCATTGCACACTTCACCTTATGGTGTTAACTGGAAATTTCATTTGATCTTGTGATTTCTAAACCAGAAAAGAGTATTTGATTTATCCTTGAGTTCATGTCTGTTTGGAATTATGGTGAAACCTCTTAATTTGACCACAGCAGGTCCCTATGGGGCTTCAGAATTCCATTAGCTAATGAAATCAGTAATATACTTCACACACTCTAATGGAAACAGAGGCTTTTGCATGATAAGCAACTACCTTCATTATGAGCATATGTGGGAGTCTATTCATGTGCTTATTTGTGTGCACATATGTAAATGTGCGTGTGGAGTGTGCTTGTGTTTACACGCATGTTTCTGAGGGTGTGTGTTACCTTGACACGGCTGAGGATTGCAGTCCTGATATTCTACTGGAGAGCCCCGGCAGGCAGTGGGAACGCTTTTGCCCTCTGCACTGGTGCAGGTGCGTTTGCGAGTGCGGTAGCCTTTGGCACAGTCCTGAGTGCAAGCTGACCACATGTCCCACGATGACCAGCCAGAGCCTGTCAGTCGCACACCAGGCGTCTTGAGAAGCTCCTCAACTAGTGCTGTAGAACATACATTGCATGTTACAAATTTGCCAGTTATTGTCAGTACTTTTCTTTTATCATTGAATTATTATTATTATTATTATTATTATTATTATTATCACAGCCTACTGACACGGTTTTGATGATCCAGAATCCACCTAATGTAGTTATTATTAAATAATAATTAGTTATCTTTACAGCTGTTTGTTCTAGGTGTGAACAGCCATTTAGTCGTTTTATGTAAAGAGTGCTGCAGGGATGATGTATTTTTGTTGGTCAAAACCAGGAAGAGTGTTAGTATATTAGCACATCCGGGCCCATCGTCCATAAGTCAATAAATGGACTCTGGGTTAAATGCCTGAAACAAGGTCTGTGATTAACACAAGCTCAAGATATTTTCATATTTATCCTACAATGAAATACACCAGTAATACCCTCTTGTGATATTTTAGAAAAATATGTTTGCTAACAAGTGGCTAAATGGGACGACAGAAGTTGTTGGGAACATTAAATGTCATCACGGTGAACCAGAAATTACTCAACTCACTAGTCCATTTTTACAGCCTCATTGGGTTTATAACTGCATAGTTTTTGGAAGCTTAATGGGCATGACGTTAAAGTCAAGAGACCATGGTATAGTTTGTTTATTGCTTATGTAGGGTATCAGACCGAATCAGACCATTTAAGATTTGATAAAGAACAGTTGAAACACGAGGAGCTGAATTCCACAGAGGCCCAAGACACAGGATGTTCGTAAATCAGATCCTGGCGCCACAAGCCTGAACCAACTAGCAGCTTTGAGTAGCTCACAGCATTTAAACAAAAGAACACTTATTGACAATTCCAAGGAGATTGTCAATTATCAAGATTAATGGTCAAAGAGATGCACAGCGTGACCATCACATGGAAAACAGTGATAGCAATCACAAGCTCTTTAGATTGACTTCCCCCACCTCGACGACAGAGAACAGACTGAAATTCCTTATGAGAGACCTCTTAACCTCTGGTCTTCACAGAACATGTCCTTATGTTCAGAGAATGGCACAGAAACGGCATTTCCATGTAAATATGCATCTAAATGACACTAAAAGGACTTGTGAGCAACTAATCATTTCTATGCATAACTACATATCATGTATGTAACCCACACATCAGACTATCAGGTCTTAATAATTTATTGTGTATGTATTTTGAATAACTATTGAATAGTTTATAGGATCACATTCATGTTTAGTATGTGTGTTTGAATCTTCTTGCTTGAAACGTTTCTTCAAATCAATTCTTTGTTAAATGTATCATATTCTTGTTATAGAAATCATGTCCAAAATTATACTCTGCAAGAGCGGGAAAAACTCGGACCATGTGACTGATAAGATAACATTTGATTTATGAATTGAGAGGAGAAATATACAACACCCCTAGCAATGACAGCGTCTAATTGGTCAAAACACCATTTGGGAGGTGTCCAAAAGCCCAGTTTAAATACTCAGGACACCATCAAACTTCTCTCTTCCGCCCTTTTTTGTCACCAGTCATCACCTTTTGCGCTCTTTGAGCGTGCTCTGGCTTATACGCCAGCTCCTCCAAAACCATGAGGAGAAACGCACCTAGTCTCGTCAAACTTTACTTCTATTTCTTTACTTTAGTTTATTTTACGTTGAGAGTTTCGTGTTTCGAGTTAAGTTTTGCCTAACGCCGCATCTCCGAGTCCGACCTCGAGTGCCATCTAAAACTTTAACCAGACCACAGCTCTGCGTCATCAGCCAATGCCCAATCACTGGCTTCCCAAGACTGAACTTCCGATTCTGTCCAAATTCCCTTTAAAATCTTAAATGATTCCCTTTGAGCTAAATTTACCTGTTTCCCTTACACTTACGTTTAGCTTTTTACTTCTGGCGATTGTATTTAGGCTTCAAAATTCATAAAAGTTGTGTTCATTCGTAAAGATTATCGTGATGAACAAAATGTGTAAGAATCATAGACTTTTGTTGGTCACAGACCTTAATTTCTGCAATGTTTCAAAAGTCCAATGGAAAAATCCCATTGTTTCCGGTTTGGCCTACTAAAATACGTCATCACTGCAGCACTCTCCGAGTGTGTTATTTTAAGGAGTGGCCTTTTCCTGTGTAATTCAAGGTTACTATAAAAAAAAACTACCAATGTCATGATGTGTTTTACAGCATCTCTGACAAAAAAAACATTCTGGTCACAGCAACCTGCACAAGGTGAATTCTGACACTCCCTTGTCTCTAATGCATTCCATGTGCACCTCAAGTGGTTGACCTCCCCCGAGTTCAGACAGGAAGATACAGTTAATCAATGTGACGCCCGACATGCGCAAAGTGGGCAAGGGCTGAACTGTGACCCTGAACTGTCATCGAGCCAGCAGTATCGGCTAGCTCAGTCAGATCTGTTCATTTAGGTGTGGGTGTGCATTAGGAAAAAGGATCTATACACTCACAGTCTGTTTCACAGGTTACCGTCCCGTCATTGGGGCAGAAGCGTGTCTCAACTTTACGCTTGCCCAGTTGAAGCTCATGAGGGTCAGCCAGTTGGGCCCGGCAGATGTAGCGAACTCTTTGCTCTTGCCGTGCCCCTCCCTGGGTTATATTCACCGGCACCCAAGGGGTCCATGGGGTGTTTCGGCGCACCTCTGGACAGGACTCCAGATTACATGCCTGGTACTCCTGCAATGAGTAAGATTGGCAAAGAGAGGACACCATCCAGTTGCTTATTCCTCATGCACAGGGGACATTACATCACCTCTTAAGATGCACGTGAAGCTCATTCTTGAGCCATCACTGTGAACAGTTAATAAAATTTAATGGCTCCTTGCTAGACACCCAAGGGGGTGTTATAGTTCTTTGCAAGGAACGTTAATTTGAGTCCTAATTAAGTCGATTAAATTTGAATTAATTGCAGCTCTTAAGAGAATTGGAGAGCAAAGAAATCTGTCCGATTTAAAATGTAAGAGCAAAAGAGCATTTTAGAGAGCATTTTAGGAAGCTGAATGCTATTTTGATTTGTCCTGATATTTTGTTGTATAGAAAGATGCATTACAGCATATAATGTATGAAAGATATAAACAAATATAACAAACAAATTCTATAGGCCCATGGATTTTTCTACAAGTATGCATGCTTTTTGGCAGAGATGTACAATGGATTTTGTGTAATGGATTCTGGCCATGCTAAGAATACCAATTACTGAACTGAACTGCACGATGCCATAACATGGTTTGTTGTTAACATAAAATAAGTCATAAAATCATTTAAAGTGTATAACACTTTCCTGGACATTCACTCCAGTGAATATTTCACCGAGGTTTATTTTTAGTCTCTTCATAGGCATGTTTTATTTCATTTTCATTTTGAAGGTGATGAATGTAAATAACTACAAGGCCATTGGCAGGCTGTATAGACGATCAGCTTAATGTAAGTGACAGTCTCAGAACTGCATAAATCTTCAAAATGAAACAGTGTGTTGTGTATTTGATTTGTCTAGTCCACTCAGTCTCTCCTGAATCACAAATGAGCTCCATTTTTACAGTACATCACACATATCTTTCTGGGAGAGGAGCTGCTTGGTTATCACAGTCGTGCAGGAGGCTTCAAGGCTAAAGCGTGTGTGTACTTAAGGTGTACGTACCAGCGCACATCCTGGACAGCTATTTCCATTCTCACAGTTCCTGGAGCGAGAGTGCACCCCTCCCCCACACTCTGAGCTGCACTTGGACCAGGGCGACCATGATGACCAAAAGATGGGCTGAGGGCACGATAACTTCTCATTGCAGAATCTGGTGAGCATAAAAAAATGTGTTTTACTCATATCATGAGTTTAAGTCAGGCCTGCTCTGAGTTGATAAAACTGAGAAATGTATAAAGGGGTCATATTATAAGAAAAATTGCCACAGGTTTGACAACATTGCATTTGGTTATGAGATACTTGTGAACCTGGCATTTGTTTTTACTGACGTCCAACCTACACTATAGGCATCACATTTGACAGCTTCAGTTGAGCGGAAGATTATTGGATTATAATGATTTTAAATTTAACTTGCACTTAAAATGCACTTACACCAGTGTTATTTTAGTATCATGTTTCAGGTCTTGATTTTTACATTTATATGTGCAAGAAAAGAAAAAAAAACTATTTTCTTACCTCTGTTCTCTGCTTTGCCCCACACACACTCGGCCGCCATGCCTGGGCGAAGGATTGTTACAGGATCGCTGGCGGACTTCAAACCCAATCTCACAGCTTGTGCTGCACTGGCCCCAGGACGACCAGGGTGTCCAACCTCCATTCCTGCAGAAAAAAGAAAGAAAGAAAAAACAGAGAGCATCAGTGAACCTTGGCAAGAAGTGATGGGTACAAACCCATTTTCTCATTTGGGATATAGAAATACTTTCTTTTTTTTTTTCCGGCAACACTGCCAGGCTAATGTGACGTGATGGAAGAGAAAGAGGACAGGTTTGGTAAGGAATTTTGATCGGGAAACGTTCTCAATTTGCTAAAGTGCTTGGTTCCTGCAGCGAATCTTGCGTGATGAGAGAACTGCCACTTCTGGTAAAAACACAATTCAGTTTCAGCACCTTAGATGCAGGATGGCGGGCAGACGGAAAAAAAAACAGATCGTAGAAATGCAATAACTGAATTTTAATTATTTGGTTTAACTATTCCTTTAAGGAAAAACTTTTTACTTGCCTTGAACAGTTGGACACCTCAATGGTCGGCCCCTCGCAGTTTTTACCTCCGCAGCGAGATGGCGGACTATCGCATGCCCGTGATCTGCAGAGACATGTGCTGGTGCCTTCGCCGTCATTGTGGCTGCAGGGTTGCCATGGAGCCCAGGGTCCGTACGCACCATCTGTGGTTTGGTTCCTCAGCTGGAATAAATGAGAAAAAAACGTGTGAATTTGAAGGTTGGTTGCATGGAGAATCTCAGTCCTAAAAAATAATGACCACAAAGCAGCTGCCTCAAGTGATGTTATCAATCATGTGGCATAGCACCTTTCACGCAACACAGATTTCAAAGCTGCAGAGGGAGACTGTCAGAGCACTATGGAGACGACAGACACGTGTCGAAACATCAGTCATACATGAGGCTGTGAGTGAGGCAGACTCTTTAAATGACTGGTCCTTACCGGGCAGGCAGTGATGTTCTGGAACCACTGGCTCATGTTGGAGCTGTCCTCTATGGTGGTGCAACGGCGCTGCTTTCGGTCCCAACCACAGTAAGGGTCCCTTGCATCCAAACACATCCTAAAATAGAAAGAGTCAGGAAAAAGAGAAAGGGACAGAGACAGAAAAAACATGGACTTAGTGCATGAATAGTATTATAGTCAACATAAATTAGAATTAACCAAATTTATTTTTAAAAGCATGTTCCTGGTCTTACTGTACAATTAAATCCACATTACAATAAATTTCTTTTTTTTTAACAAATTAATACTTTTATTCTGAAAGGATGTATTAAAGGGGTCATATGAGGCTTTTTTTAAAGACGTGCACATTTGGGCGGCATTATGCTAATATTTCCACATAGTGAGGTAGATATGTGGGGGCGTGTTAGAACGAGCCGTTTTAGGGGGGCGTGGCAGAGTCTTAACTTTGATAAAGAATATCTCTTTGGTTTTGAGACTTTAGTCTTTGCAACTTCAGGGATCTTATCTATGCACAATCAGCTTGTAACACTCCAAAGAGAAAGGAAAACTTGAAATCGCATCATATGACCCCTTTAAATTAATCAAAAGGGACAGTAAAGACATTTCTAATGTTAAAAAGATTTATATTTCAAATAAATGCTGTGTTTTAATTATTTATCAAAGAATCAGAAAATGCATCACAGTTTCAGTTGGTATCAGTCACCAACTGAAATAGCATCACAAAAAAATATTAAGCAGCATAACTGCTTTCAAAATTGATAATAATAAGAAGAAATGTTTCCTAAACTAAATCAGCATATTAGAATGCTTTTGAAGGATCATGTGACACTGAAGACCGGAATAATGAAAATTAATCTTTGCCATGACAAGAAAAAATTACATTTTAAAATCCATTAAAATAGAAAACGCACACACACATCATAAAATGTAATAATTAGCATATCATTTAAATCCAAATGAAATTTTAATAAAATATAACATTTATTGATTAATTTATTTGTTATATTGTTATTATATAAATAACTATCATATATATATATATATATATACAGTGG